TCACCTTCACTATTATCAAAGTCTAATTCACTATCTACTCCACCCTCTTGTTCTCTTAAAGGTGCATGGGCATGAGCAGGTTCAAGAGAATGAGAAGGGGAAGGGGAAAGGGTAGGTTCATGAGCAGGGGCAGATTCAGATTCAGATTCAGATTCACTATCTTACTCTTCTTCTAAGACAGTTGTGCTCTTAAAAACTCCACTATTAGACCCACCAACCCCTTTACTAGCCTCATTTATGCCAACAACACATAAAGGAACAACATGAGTCACATAAATATCTAAGGTATCCCCATCTTCCAATTCATTACAAATGTCTAAAATATCCTTGTCTGTGAGAATATTTACCAATTTATCTGTCCTATCCATTGGACAAATATACAACTCAGCCACATTTTGAAAGTCATAGATCCTAGTGTAGTTCATCAGTTCAATAAGAGACACTAAATTCATATCTACATCTAAAGTCAATGTTTGACTACCACCCACATAACGAGCAAAGTTACCAGGAACTAATACCCCATCATGGTACCACCTAAGGTAATAATTTTAAAAGACATTATCTGCAAACAAATAAGGGACAAATAAATGGACTTTCCACATGCAACAATTGAAAATAAAGAACTACAAATGAAATATAAAAGTGGAGACAAAGACAAGAGCATATCACATTATTCAAAACAATGTTATTACAATAATCAGTTAAACCCTAACTTTACACACGATTTTCAAACACAAGACAAATCTTTTTTATAAAAAAACTATTTGTAAAGGCAACAAGACGATAACTTCACAGTTATATCGACAATGACAACAGATTCCCTTTTAAAAAGTCCGATAACCCTAAGCAAAATAGAAGAAATTTCAAAAAAAGCCTAGGTTCAACCCACACACTACTAAAATAAACGGGTAATGCAAGGAGAAGAAAATTACTAACCTATTAACCGCATAAATCCACCGGAAATCCACGATGAAAGCATAGCTTGAGATGGTCGCCGAATCGCCTTTACTGTAGCTCCTTCTATATGTATCGGATTTTGAGTACTGACTTGGGTAAGTTTGGTTTTAATGCTTTTACCTTGTGGGTCGAGTAGGGTCAGTTAGGGTCGGGTTAGTTATTATAAGGTAATGGGTTAAAATTATGTAAATTCAAACGCGTGACATACACAGATGTCTTATTAACAGGATCTAGTCAAAGGAGGTGGGTACTAGATACACTTTAGAAAGGTTTCTTGTGTAAGGTTATTATCGTCCACAGAAAGTGTGTAAGGGGGATTTGGGCCAAAGGTTGGGTGGTAAACTATGTATTACCACTCTAGAATGTGTAAGGTTTTTGGGCCAAAGATTTATGTAAGGTTTTTATGTACCAGCTTTCTAATTTTGATACTCCTTAATTCATCTATAAGCTTAGGGAGTTCAGTGTTTGTTAATCTTTCTTAGGTGGAGCGCGATGACAATGATATATATATACCAACTCTAGAATGTCTTGATGTCGAACGTTTCTCAGATGTGTCATTTATGTTAGATCTGTCCCTTTTTTCTCTTCCATCTTTCTTTCTTCCTTGCTTTCCTCATCTTCTTCTTCTTGCCATTCCTGAGCCGAGGGTCTATTGGAAACAACTTCTCTACCTGCATTAGGCAGGGGTAAGGTCTGCGTACAGACTACCCTCCCCAGACCCCTCATATTGGGATCAAACTGGGTTTGTTGTTGTTGTCATTTATGTTAGATCTGATTTTAGTTGCACTTTGTATAGGAACTCATGAATAGCATTCAAGATTGAAGAAATCAATCAGCAATGATCAAGGAACGCATGGATTGGCATACAAGATTGAAGGAATCAAACAGAGGCAATCAAGGAAAGTAGATGTGATTAAAGGAGGAAATTGATACTGACGGAATCAATCAAGGCTAAACTGAAGGAATCAAATAAATCAAGTATATCGAAAATCTTGTAGAATATTCAATCAAGTGTCTAAATCTGGAAGGATCAAGATTCCGGGATCGCACACAAGGGAAAATCTTTACAGCCTCTCGTCAGTTAGAGCCGTTGCGGAATAGCCTTATTCTTTGAAATAATCAATCTTTTTCCAAGGATGATCAAATCTATTGGGTTGGAAAATCTCTCCAGAATTCAAGCCTCTCTCAAAGTATTTAAACTTGTAATCACACCTTAGCACATATACTTTGATCGAACCAAACACCCTATCTTTGTTCTACTGCAAACAAACATTGTAGCTCTACTAAGACCTGCTGTGTAACAAGTTAGAAAAGAAAGAGAGAACAACATTGGTGAGTCATTGTATCAAAAGAAACGAGTGATATAGGAACTAAGCTATCGGTGTAGATCACACCATTCTCTGTGTACTCGAAGAAACTCATTCACTGAAAAGAACTCCTTGCAACCCAAGGGGACTGGACTAGGATTCACATTGAATCCGAACCAATATAAAAATTATGGTGTCTTTAATTCCTCTATTTAATTTCAGCATCTTAAATTTTGTCGTTACTGTTATCAAGTTATTACTTCTAGTCGACTTATTGAAAAACTAGTCAACTAATAGCAATTAAGTTTAAAAATAAACAATTCACCCTTCTCTTGTACTTTCAATTTAATCACCTCGGGGAAGTTAAGCTAATACAAACTAATGGCACAATCCCTGATATGCAGCTTTTGAAGCTTTTGTTGGCCGAGCTAACAAAATTTAAGCGGGCATCACCTAAAGCAGAAGTTGTCTATAACTTGGATAAGCATTCATATAACCGTCTTGTTTGATTTTCACGGCTCTTTAATCAGAGCATGATCTTTTGCACAAGTGTTTTGGAAGTTGAAGTGAACACATAGAAACGTATGTTGATGCAATAGTATAACTCTATGTTTTGTCTAATTGCCATAGGATTGAGAGAAGTATGAATATCAGTTTGGGGATGTAAACGAATGTGGATATATGGTTTCTTTTGACTTTGTCATTGCTGAGCTAAGGCTTTTACTTTACATGGCTTTGCTTGAAATGAGACTTGCAACAAGAATTGCTACTGTGTGTTAATCTTCTTCTTTGTCATATTCAAGGTGGAGCAATGGAGTTTTGGAACGTAGCACTGCTATGTAATGTGTTGCGACACCCTAGGCGAATCCCATATCGACAAAACACGGGAGAGATGCTAGGTATAGACGTAGACATGTCTTATACTCTAGTGACGCGTTTTAAAGTCGTGCGGATCTAAGCCCAAAGTGGATAATATCACTAGTGGGTTGAGCTGTTACATATAGGAGAGATGTTGGGTGTATAAGTAGACAGGTCTTAAACCCTAGTGACGTCTTTTAAACCCGTGTAGACCTAGGCCCAAAGCGGACATAATCATTATTGAGCTGGGCTGTTATGATTGATTTAGTTATTCACTTTGGCATTATTACTTTATAATATTAGTTAACTATTTGATTTCTACTGTGAATCCAGTAACTTCTTAAGATACATAAAGTAATGTTGATCTTCGCATCTAAAATTTGGTTTTCTCATTTTTAATCAAGTACGAACTTGTTATTCAAGGTATTAACTAGTACAACAGTCAATTTAATACATTTTTGAATTAAACGTGACATAGTGTAAAGTTGAATTTTATGTATAACAAAGGTATCTTACTTGCATTTATAAAAGTATAGAAATACATGTCGACCCGATATCTGGTACTCTATAATTCTGTAATAATTTTGCACTTTTAATAAATTCAAATAATTTGATACTATTATTTTTTTGGGGGGCTACAAATAGAGGGAAAGTTGGCATTGCACTTATGAATTAGTAATATAAAATTAATAAAAGAATAATCCATTAACGCGTCATAAATATCATAAATATATCTTCGTAAAAGGAATATATTGAATCAAGTGCACTCTAGTTAAATGGGGCAAATTATAATGGAGAAAAATTATATAACGATTATTATAGGTTAATTTATTATCTTCCTCCCCCCGTGATGTTTCCAAAGCGATGCTATGTCTTCAATTATTTGATTGTACACATCTACTTTTGTAAATTTGTTGAATAAATCATGACATAATCAATATTTATACACTATAGTAAAAGTATGAAATTATAAATTAAAATATTGATCGACATTTTCACCCGTTAAATATATATTCTTTGTTGAACGTATTTTTAATTAAAATTAATATGTTCTTTTAATTGCTAGGAACATAATTATACTTTCAAGACAATTTTGTTCCTTTTAAGAAGATATTTTCCTTTTTTTTGTTTATGTTTTATGTTTTTGTAATCTTATACAAGGATGGATAAGATTATGAATGAAGATATTCGAGAGAAGGTGGACGTGGCCCCCATGGAAGACAAGATGCGGGAAGTAAAACTCAGATGGTTCGGGCACATTCAGGGGAGGAGCGTTGATGCACCAGTGAGGAGGTGTGAGCGACTGGCTGTAGTGTGCACACAGAGAGGTAGAGGGCGACCTAAGAAATATTGGGGAGAGGTGATCAGAAAGGACATGGCGCGACTTAGGATTACTGAGGACATGACCCTTGACAGGGAATTATGGAGGTCGAGCATTAAGGTTGTAGGTTAGGGGAAAGTTGTGAATATTTCTACAGCACAATAGAGTGAGACTAGCCAGTTAGGAGTTAGACTAAGAATGTCATTGGTCGTCTATTGATGTAGGGCTTTACCTGCTAGTTTTTACTATACCAGCCATCTATTTCGTATTTCGTATTCTGTATTTCATATCTCTTATAAAGCTGTTATTTTATTATGCATTTTTATGATACTAATATATCGTCTCCTGTTGCTTTTTTTGAGCCGAGGGTCTCCTGGAAACAGTCTCTCTACCCTTCGGGGTAGGGGTAAGATCTGCGTACATATTACCCTCCCAAACCATACTTGTGGGATTATACTGGGTCGTCGTTGTTGTTGTTATTTTAGGTATGCCGACTTCTTCAACTAGGAACGTGTGAGGACAATTATTTTAGAGGGAGGAATCAAAGAGTTAAAAATAAAAAATATAAAAAACTCTAAATACTTAATGAACGGAAAAGTTGAGGCCAACCCAGAGAAGAGAAAGCCTAACTCCTCCTTGTAAAGTAAGATTAACATTATCTTTAATTATTTCATGCACTGTGTAATTGTAGTTGGCGTTCTATAATTTTGTTGAAATTTCACTTCATTATGTTAAATATGACATGATTATTCAGTTTCCGTTGTGTTTATAACTTTGCCAGTCATGCTTACTCAGATTATTTACGCTATTCCAATTTTAGTACTCAACTGCCAGCGTTAAGGTTATGCGATTTGTAGGAAAAAGTTATTAAGCTTATTTAGACTTGCTAGTTTGATGTCAAATTTAGCCCTAGCTGTGAAATAGTTAATCTTCTACAAAAAGGGCAGCAACCCTGCACCTAGGAGTGACAAACGGGCTGGTCGAGTCGGATATGGTTCGGGTCGAAAACGGGTAAATTATCCGACACAACACATATTTAATACGGATAAAAAAACGGGTTAACCGTCGGATAATATGAGTAACCATATTATCCATGACTTCTTGCATATGATCGCTTTTGAGAGAATTCTTAGTCTCCCTAACTTGAGGAACCCCCAATTTGAAGCTTTACAGATAGAAAAGTTAGAGCCATTGGTTATCCATTTTCTAAATGGATAATATGGTTCTTATCCATATTTGACCCGTTTTTAAAAATTTCATTATCCAACCCATTTTTAGTGGATAATATGGGTGGTTAATTGTTTTCTTTTAACCATTTTGCCACCCCTACCTGTACCCAAAGCATTCCGCATTTATGTAGGGTCCGGAGAAGGGCCGCACCCCAAGAGGGTGTGATGTAGGCAGCATACTCTGATGCAAGTATTAGTGACTGATTCTACGGCTCAAACTCGTGACTTATTGGTCACACGAAGACCCTTATATTAATATCTTCTTGGTACTTGCTTTAGCAACCACCATCATACTATTTGAAAAGAACAGCTAATTTTTCGAAGTTGAATTGACAAATTATTGGACTTGTTTTATTTTTCCTTTCTCGTGTAGCTATCGATGTCAGTTTAAGGTAGAAGCAAAAAGTGATATAGTCCTTTGTTATCATAAAGTATTTGTGGATGGCAGCATTGCTGTAAAGAATGCAATTCTTTAATATTAAGAGGAGATTTATGAATGATTTTAATGAGAGCACACCTCTTCTGTTTTTCTTACAGTTATGGCATATTAATTTGACAATTTTCATCTGCAATTCTGCCCACGTAGTTTGGAGATCCTCCTAATCTTCATATTCTTGTTTCTTTTCTACAGGTACAGTTATATGATGTCGTCTGAGGGCAAAAGGCATTGTTGTCTAACTTTACCTTCCGATGTACTTAGCAACCTTCCTGAGAATGTAATTGATGGCATTTTGATGTGTTTGCCTTTTAAAGATGCTGTGAGGACGAGCATCTTATCAGACATATGGAGATATAAATGGTGCCGACTTCCAGAGTTAACGCTTGATAAAGCTGTTTGGACAACTAAAACTAATGGAATGTTATGTCCAAGTAAAATTTCCATTATTATCTACCACATTTTGATGCTTCATGTAGGGCCAATTACAAAGTTTATCCTCCACATTACTAGTTTGCGTAGTTATCTTGAGATTGATGACTTGATATATTTTCTCTCTAAAAATGGCATTCAACATCTTGTTCTTACACTTCCATTCAGTCGTAGCCCATACAAATTGCCTGTATCATTTTTCAAATGCTTGCAGTTGCGGTATTTGACTCTCCGGAATTGTTTAATACTTCCTCCACCAAACTTCAAAGGATTTGACAGGTTAATTAGCCTGGAATTACGCAACGTCACAATTTCTTCCAAATTTCTTGAAAGTTTAATCTCTAAATGCCTGCTGCTCGAGCAGTTGGTGTTGCGAATCTCAGAACATTTGAACTCTATTGAAATTAAAGCTCCCAAGTTGAGATCCTTTGACTTCAAAGGCAATATAAAATTTATTATTTTGAAAGATGTCCCTCGTCTTGCAAAACTTTCACTTGCAAATACTAGAAATGATGAGAAGGCAGGAAAATGTGACATTGCCAAGTTTCTTGAGTCTTTTACAGCTCTTGAGCATCTCTACTTGGGTAATGGTAGTATCGAGGTAAATGCGCTTCATCACTTCCTTGAAATGCATTTTCAATGATGGAACATCTTTTTGATTTGAGTCATCCTGATTTTGGCATTTTCTTTCCTAGTTCTTTGCTGGAGCAGGTGGAACTGTATTAAAAAGGTTTCCCTTTATTTTTAACTGTGTCAAACGTCTTTACCTATCTGATTGTTGTCTGGGTGAATTGGAGTTCAACTCCTGTGTTGTTGGCTTGATTAGAAGCTTTCCATGTTTACAATATCTAGAAATTGAGGTTCGTTTTTCTCTCTTTCTTATGTACAATAGTTTCTTATAATACATAAACAGACCTGGTCTCAGTTGGCAAGTATGTGCTCCAACTTTGGATGCACAAGCAGTCACCTCAACTTGTATAAAGAACACTTAGACACAAATGCTGACGTGACACATAAATTTTGGAGATGTCCAGATGATCATTTTGTAAGTTGGAGTGTTCAACTGACAAAGTGGAGATGGAGGACATACTTGTCAATCAGGCCGAGTTTGAGGGTCTGTTTATGTATTATGCCATTTCTTATTTCTTGTTTCCAGACTCCTTAAATCATTCATTAGTTGATTCTTTGGTTTATCTTTTCTTAGGTGCTTTATCTTTATGTTGATGGTACATCTGCACTTCAATCTCTTGAAGTGGAACATTTCTCGGATGTGACATTTAATCAACTCAAGGAAGTTAATCTAAAGTATATTAAAGGCTCAAAGCCTTTGTTGCAGCTTATGAAGCTTCTGTTAGCCAAGTCTCCGGTGCTGGTGAGAATGCTAATCGATTCATATCTAGATGAAGAATCTGCAGCAATCAACATATGCGCTACTGAGTTATCAAAATTTCAGCGTGCATCACCTAAAGCAGAAGTTGTCTTCATCAAACAAAATTCTCACTTGGCTAAATCGATTTCAGCGTACATCGCCAAAATCAGAAGTTAAGTATGATCAAGATTGCCACACTCTAAACTGCAACTTATGACATGAAGTGATATGTGGTTGTTTAGTTCAAAGATGTTGTCGGTTGCTGTGCGTTAATTCTGTACTTAGGTCATTTCCCAATGCCAAGCCTGAAGCCTTTTCTCAAGAATCTCAATGGAGATTTGATGCAACTATTGTCCCCTATCTACTAGCACTGATATGGACCCTTTATTGTTATTATTTACTGTGATATGTATTATATTATCTATTTAATCTCATTTTTCTTAGTGAGTCTATTCTGTTTTTCATGCCATAATGTGTTTTCCAGTAAAAAGAAGAGGAGCTTTGGCGTAACTGGTAAAGTTGCCTTCATGTGATCAGAAGGTCACGAGTTCGAACTGTCAGGCTCTTGCGGAAATGCAGGGTAAGACTACCTACAATAGACCCTTGTGGTCCAGTCCTTTCCGAACCCTGTGCATAGCGGGAGCTTAGTGCATCGAGCTGCCCCATTTTTCTTTTATTGTGTTCTTCCAGTTAACTGATGCACAAATGCAAATTTGGCTGGCAGCTGTCATTGTTCTTCTTTGTTTAGAGAGTTGGTACTTTGATAATCTTTCTTAGGTTCAAGATGTAGATTATTCTACTCCAGCTCAAAAATCTCTTGAAGTGAAAGCTTTCTCAGATGTCACATTTAGTCACCTTAGGAAAATTAAGCTAATAGGTATTATCCAGTCAAAGCCTGAGATGCAGCTTAAAAAATGCGGCCGGGCTGCTGGCATATATATGACTTCTTCGACAGGCAACCATCCAAGCACCACAAGCTTCTGTTAGCCAAGTCCCCGATGCTGGCGAGAATGCTAATCGAGCCATCCATCTTTGTTGAAGAATCTGCAACAATCAAAACACCGGCAGAGCTAACAAAATTTCTGCGTGCATCACCCAAAGCTGAAGTTGTCTATACACTTCGATAAGTTTCCATAATACCTTCAGTTTTTATCCTTTCGACTCTTCAATCAGACCATGAAATGTTTCGGATGGTGAAATTAAGGTTTGGGGATATAAGCGAATGTGGATGGTTTCTTCAACTTTGTCATTACAATGCTAAGTGTTTTTACATTATATGCCTATGCTTGATCCTATGGTTGTTTCTTTTAGACTTCAAGGTTAGGTTGTTGGTTACAGTGGTGTTAATTCTCTTCTCCATCATATTCCTATGGCAAGCTTCAAGCCTTTTCTGTTACTGTTTTTATTTACACTTTATTAATTTTTGCTTTGCTACTTCCACTTGGCAGTACCTATCATTACATAGGCGAATGTAGTTATTACCCCGTGTTGAAAGTTATGAGTTCAGTTGAATCCGTAGTTATTACACTACATTCGCCTCTGTCTATCAAAGCATTCACAATTAAACACACTCGATTTTGAATTAATGGCTGCACGGTGAGCACTCAATAGTTAGAAAAGAGTAAGATCATTAAGTATTTCACCAATATAAGCTAAAATCCTTTCATCTTAATAATTACTCGTAATCTCAAAGTAAGGTTTGAACCTTTGACCTCTTAGAGCAAAACAATGCATATAACCAACATGTCAGGAGACAATTTGTGCTGGGTTGTATCATTTTTTTGCTACTTGTTCGTTTTCACACAGTATAAATAGATATATATAGTAAAAAAAATTGACGAAGCGGTGTCGTATCAAACGTGCATCTGCCCATCTCTGTTGATATTCAAAAACAGAGGAAACACTTTCAGAGGATTGAAGGATGAAGCTTTCATTAGATATTGTGAAGCATATTCTTGTAAACGGAAAAGCTTTGTCACCTCATCATGCGGTTCGCACGTCAGTCTTGGTTAGACCAGCTAAATGGATCGACTCAACCCAGACTCGAACCCGTTGACTCTTGACCCGTGGGTCCTTAACTAGGCCGGTCCGGTTCACTTTCTTATAGGGGCCGATTCGAGTTTAACCCATTAATCAAAGGAATTTTTACCTCCTNCCCCCTCCCCACGTATCTTGCACAAGTGAGCAGCAATTCCACCATTGATAACCATTAAAAAGCTTTGAAGCTTTGAATTCGAATTTAGATTTTCAAAAAACATTATTTGTTTGAATTGGATATTGTTGCAAAGAATTGAGAATTCCCTCTACGTCTCTCTATCTCTCAATCCCTAATTTCAGTCATGTAAATCAAAGGAAAAGAGAGCAGCAATTCCACTATTAAAAAGCTTTGAAGCTTTGAATTCAAATTTGAGTTTTCAAAAATCATTATTTGTTTGGATTGGGTGTTGTTGCAAACAATTGGGAATATGATTTGGAGTTTATATCTCAATTTTGAGGGGTTTTGGTGAAGATTAGACTTGGTTTTGGCTGAATTTCAGATTGAAACTCGAAGAAGAAGAAGAAGACATGATATACATTATATTTATGAAATTGTAGTAAAATTGTAGAAAAATTATAACAAAACTCTATTCTGTTGTTTATAGATTTTTCTTTTATTTATTTAACTATTGTATGAAAGTTGAATAACATTGTTTAAAAATTATATTTAAGTTGTATGATATTGTAGTTGTATATAACTGAGTAGAAATAATATATGAAAATTGTAGATAAGTTGTATAATATATAATTAATTGTATGAAATTTATTTTTACTATGTATAAATCAGATACCAAATATACAAAAGGCATATTATATAAATTTTGTATAAAATTTGTATTTAAGTTATATGTTATTGTAGTTGTATTTAACTGGGTAGAAATAATGTGTGAAAGTTGTAGATAATTATATAATATATAATTAGTTATATGAAATTTGTTTTTACTATGTATAAATCAGTTATATAATGTACAAAAGACATTATATAAATTTTGTATAAAATTTGCAATTAGGATTATACTATGCCCATGTCTTCATTAGGGGGGAAGAAAAGGTTGTTTTGTCTTCATTTACAGCTTCTCTCATCTCAAGTTCCGATACACGAGTCTCTTTTATTGAATCTTCCAGATCAATTCTTTTAATCCTAACCAGTAACTACTTAAAAGGCTGCTTTCCTAGTTAACTTTGTTTGTAAAATTTGAGGACCTGGTGATCATTTACTTTGGCATACTTTGATTTCCAGATTGTTTCATGTAACTTTTTGTTACTCTGCAACTCTACTCTCCAAGGAAACTTGTCATGGACATTGCAAAAGTATTTTTGTGTCTGATGGTTGCTTGTGTAATCTTATTCGCTTCTTACTGGTCTGCTGGAAAATTCCAAATTAAACTCGGGTGTGGAAATGTGTATTCTACTCTTTCACAATTATACTCATTTCTCTGAGTTACGAAAAAAATACAATTATTCTTTTGAGAGGAAGAGGGTTACATCTCTTTCAGTCAAGTAGAAATTGTTAAAGAATTGCAAGAGCTGAATTTGCAAAGGAACATGCTGTGGTAAACAATTGACGAGCACTGTCGATGATTAGAGAAAAATAAGGAAAGAGAAGAAGAGAAAAAAAGAAAAGAAAAAGGGTATAATTAAATCCCTTGATTGAAGGCACAAATAATGAATTTGGGAGCCTTTTGAGGTGGATTGTATATATTTTGTAAATAAAACTTGTTTATGCCAAGTAATTAGCTAAACATGGACATTAAGGGTAATAAAGTTTTAAATAGTGTATAGGAATAAAAAAATTCCTTAATCAAAACATGTTGACCCGACCCGGACCCGTAACCCCGGGCCCTAAAGGGCCGAATTCAATTTAATTTAAAAAAAAGTTAAAAACTAATAAATGATAAAAATTTCAAACTTTATACATATACACAAACTTGAAATTACTACGTATCCTTGTAGAATAAAAATGAAAGAAAACTCATACTTTTATTAACATTAATTCTATAACTAATAGTCTAAAACATATAGAATTTGACTATTTCGACAAGACGCCTCATAGTGTCTGGTGCTATATTCTTTCTTCAATGTTTGGATTCAATTTTTTACCACTTGTTTGAATATGTATATGTGAGTTGGTTTGGGTCGGTTGATCCGTAGGTCAGCTACCGTTCGGGTCCGGTCCGGTTCAGTGGGTCAAAATAATATAGCCCGGTCAAGACCCCTTAAATAATGGGTTGGTCTGGTTAGAGTTTTGTGGGTCATGTGCCGGTTAAATGGTCAATTTATTGGGTTATATGGGCCGGTTTTCAGGTCGACCTGACCCAGCCCATTTGACAGGTCTAGTCTTGGCTCAACTTGTGGCCTGCACGAGCGGCTCTACTAGGGTAAGGCAAGTGAAGCCTTGCCGTAGGCCTCCAAATATTTAACGCCCCAAAAATATGAAGCATTACTATATTATTATATAATATATACTCCATATTTATTTGTATAATACTCAAATAAAAGATTTCAAAAATTTTAAAAATTATAAAATTTGATAGAGGTAGGATTGAGTGATGAGTTAATAGGATAATTTTTTTCTCTCACTAAATTAAATAATATATTTACCTTCTCATCAATTCTATTTTTTCCCTTTATGTATATTCTTTTTTCATGTTTCTCATGATTTTAATTTTCAATTTCAACTTAAATTCTCTAGATTAACTATTTTTTTGTCACATTTGATTGATCCACACACCAGAAAGCAAGTTCTTTTGTATCTCATCTTTTTTAACTAAGAAATTCGGGAGACAAATATAGCAAGGTTCAAAACATGATGGATAATGGGCTCATCCCTTTACCATTGACCCATACATCACGAGTTGAGCTCTCACCACTAGATCGAAGTCATGTAAGATTTTTTGTGTCTCAATATTATATGGAATTTACAAAAGAAGTTTCCGGTCTTTTAAATATATTTTAGTTTTAGGCCAACAGTCCTGTTGAGCCACCCTCATTGATGATCAACAATTATTTACATACTACTGCTATACCATGAACGTATTGTTCAACTAGCTTCATTCACATTTGGTAACTGAATGACACATTCACTACCTTTAATATTATTGACATTGTTGTCTTATCTTAATTGAGACTCTATAAATTTGATTGAGAATGTCAGGGTAAGCAAGTGACTCTAGTAGGAGACTAGTAAAGCCTTGATTTAGATCCCCAAAATTTTTAATAATGGATTTTTTAATTTTATATCAAATTAGACAATATTAGCGTTTGTAGAAAAAAATTAAAAAATACAAAATTTTTGTAAAAAAGGAAAGAAAGATGTCTACTCTTTAACAATAAAAATATTTTTAAAACTTTGAATGAAACTACTTAAATTTTCATATTAGTAAATACATTTTTTACAACAATATCAAAGGTAACAAATTGCAAATATATGTCTAACATCTCATTATTACCCTTCTCTAATATAAATTATAGTGTGACCATGTGAAGTTAAAGACTTTATGTTATTTAAGAATATATATACTATAAACAATAAGTACTTATTTCTAAGGAATTCTAAGAAAGAACAAAAATTGATCCCCCAAAAAATAAAAAATAAAGCAAATTTCTTTTAATTGATTTAACTATTTCATTCGTAAGTAGAAAAAGAAAAGAAGATTAAGAAATGAAAGCATATAAGATAAAATAAAATTAAACTAAAAGCTACATTAATTACTTAAAAGTTTATTTACATACATTATTTACGTCAAATCTCTGAATAAAAAAGTAATATAAATAATTAAGAAAGCTTTTCTCATCCAAACCCATAACCGCCTTTCAGTTGAAAGTAACAAATTCGGCAATGAGCTTCTGCCTTCAAGCGGAGATGACCACTACAACCTTTCCATAAACAACCCAATTTTTTATTTCAAAAATTAAAATGGCGAAACTCCTCCAGGAAACTCTCTCAAAAGAACATGCAAAATCGTAATGGTGCTCTTCAACCAATTTCGACTTCGACACTTCTAGTTGCCTATTGTTTTTTTTTTCTCTCATTCTTATACTAGTTTTCTTGTTTGCAACAAAATTTTTCTTTTGAATTATATTTCAATTTCTAGTTCTCTAGTTTTTTTTCATCTAAAAACGATGGATGCATGGAATTGTTGCATCTCCAAGAAAAAACTGCTTGAATTATGTCCTTTCTGTGGTAATTTCGCTGCTTTTATTCAGTTTTCTAAAGTTTTCACTCTCTAAAATTCAAGTATTAGCTTAAATTTGATGGATATATGTTGCCCATGTGAAAGCTCTTTCTGTGCTTGATGTCGTGCTATAATTCCATATATTTTGATGTTATTTATCCTACTTGCTTGTTGGTTTGGATGCTAATTTGTGCGACAATTGCGCTTAATAAAGCTTATTTCACATGTAGGAATGCTTGGACATGAATTGGAGAAAAGTTGCACGAAATGGTACCTCAGAGCTACAAAATGGAGCAATAAAAGAAGAAGCGCAAGGCAATAAAAAGTCATAGCCATAGAGAGTGCAAGACATTGTCCAGGGCACTGTCAATGGCGCCTCAAACAGTGCCTTGCGCAGATAGCGCCACAGACAGTGCAAGGCGCTGTCATTGGCGCCCCAAACATTGCTTTGTGTAGAAATAATGGTGCCACAGATAGTGCCTCCTGTCGACGATGCCATACGAGCAGATTTTAATTCCTCATTAGTTTTGGACATGTAGAATTCGACCCCTACCTTATAAATACTCCTTAAAGTTAGTTTTTTGAAGGTGAGAAAAAAATAGGGGAGACATTATTAGAGAGGAAGAGGACGTTTTTAGAGAGGGGATTCGACCCAAGGAAGCAAGAACACGCTAGGAGCAAGGAGGAGAATTCTTCTACGAGTTTTTCACTTCCCTCTTCCTATTTTCATTATTGGTTATGAATTCTAGTATTGTAGTTTTGCATACTATTATGAATAGCTAATTTTGTTATCTGACAGTCTCAACCCCCTAATTAATCTCAAATGACGGAGGCCGTGAGAACGACGTGCTACCATATGGCTCAAAAAAGAAATTCGTGCAAATTTTTATTTATTTATTATTATTATTATATATATTTGGCTCAAAACCTAACGTCTCTATCTTTATTTCTCTAACCTAATATCCCTCTAACGTATCTCTCTCTCTAACCTCGGCTAACGCCGACATAATTCCGGCGACCTCCACTAGAGTCAGGTAAGTCCCCTTCCATTCTTCTCCTCCCCTTCATTCCTCTTTTCCCATCCCAGATCCGGCGATCTGCCTCCCCCCACTCTTTTTTTTTACCTTCTCTTTATCTCCCCCCTGTTTCTGCCTCCTATTTTTTCCTCATCCACTATCCCTCTTCTCCTCTACCTTCGTCTTATTTTCTCCGGCTTTTGTTTTTTTTTTTTTGTTTTTGGTGTTTTTTTTGTCTTTCATTTTTTCTTTGTCAATGGGCATCTCCGGCAGGAAGCGACGTTCTTCTTGGGTGGCTAGGCCTTCTTGGTTGTCTTCTGTCCTTTCCTGGTGTGCTGCTTGTCAAATTTTTTGGTGTAGCAGCGGCGGCAGAGGATTTTGCACAAGGGAAATTTTCCGGCGAGCCTTGAGAGGAAGGTAAGGCCCCGACGCAAGCAGCTGGAGGTGGGCGGCGGGTAGGCATTTTCGGACTGTAGCTGATGTTCGTAAAAACCATTTTGGCATCCATAGACATTCCAAGTTCTATTGTTCCTGCTTCGTATTTGTATCTTGCGTGTTCATAGCTTTGTTTCCTGCCTTTTACCCTTGAATGTTGCATTAGTTTCTTGTCTTTGTTGCGTGTTTACCTTTCTTGGCCATTAGCTGAGTCAGTGTACCTCTTGTGTGATTAAGAAAATTTTTTAGTCTACATTGAAACTTTTCAACTTGTTTGCATTTGCGTTAGTTTTAATCTTAATTTGTTGCCCTTAGTTTCTTTGTGGGTGAGGTGCCTAGTTGGAATGATAGTAGAGTAATTTCACGTCCTCGAATGGGCCAAGGGGGCGGGGGGTAAAGGGTGGCAAGGGGGGTAAGGGATCTGGTAGGGTGAGAGTGGAGTCGTAGAACATAGGGACACTGATGGGTAAGTCTATAGAGTTAGGGAAGATTCTTCATAGGAGGTTAATATAGCATGTGTTCAGGAGACTAGATGGAAGGGTACGAGGGCACAAAATGTTAAGAGGTTTGATCTATGGTATTCAGGAGGAGCAACGGGCAAGAACGGGATAGGTATTGTAGTTGATAGAGACCTTAGGGAGATGGTGGTGGATGTTAGGAGGGTGAATGATAGGCTAATGACTATTAAGCTGGTGGTTGGTGGGATCACTTTTAGCATGATTAGCGCTTACGCGCCTCAGGTGTGCCTAGGCAAGGAGGTCAAAAGGCTCTTTTGGGATGATTTGGATGAGGTTGTGCATAGTATTCTGCCCTCCAAGAAGTTCGTCATTGGGGGTGATTTTAATGGCCATATTGGGGTGATAGCTAAAGGTTATGATGAGGTGCATGACGGGTTTGGTTTCGGAGTTAGGAATGAGGGCGGTACATCTTTGTTGGATTTTGCTAAAGCATTTGACCCGATCTTAGCTAATTCGTGTTTCCAGAAGAAGGAGGAACACTTGGTCACTTTCCGGAGTAAGGTTTCCAGGACTCAAATTGATTACCTTCTCCTTATGAGGGGTGATAGGGGCCTGTGTACTGATTGCAAGGTTATCTCGAGTGAGTGTCTGTTGACGTAACAGACTCCTGGTAATGGACTTGGAGGTCAAGAGAGTAAGGAAGAAGAGAGCACTGTACGACCAACCGAAGATTAAGTGGGGAGCCTTGTCTAAGGCAAAGGCGCAAGGGTTGAGGGAAAAGCTGTTGGCCATGGGGGCCTGGAGGAGTAATGTGAACACAAGTAGTATGTGGACCACGACAACGACCTACATTAAGGAAGCTGCTAGAGAGGTGTTAGGCGTATCAACGAGTTATTTGGGAGGCCACAAAGGGGACTGGTTGTGGAATGAGGAGGTCCAAGAAAAAGTGGAAGCTAAGAAAGTCGCATATCTGAAGCTAGTGGGGAGCACTGATGAGGAGGAGCAGAGGACGCGTAGGGAGCGTTATAAGTTGGCAAGGAAAGAGGCAAAATTGGCAGTCATAGTGGCTAAGATTGTAGCTTTTGAGCGATTGTATGAGGATCTTGGGGTCAAAAGAGGCGACAGAAAGTTGTACAAGTTAGCCAAGATGAGGGAGAGGAATGCTCGGGACCTGGAACAAGTATGGTGCATCAAATATGAAGACGGTAGGTTTCTGGTGGAAGAGGCGGGTATTAAGCGTAGATGGTAGGAGTACTTCCATAGACTCCTAAATGAGGAAGGGGACAGGAACATCGTACAAGCTAGGAGAGACAGGGAGTCAGAGAGATTTAGGTTTTGCAGGTGTATTAGGAGCGAGGAGGTTGAGGGTGCAATACGGAAGATGAGCAGGGGTAAGGCATCTGAGCCTAACGAGATCCCAGTAGAATTTTAGAATGAAGTGAGGTGGGCAGGCTTAGAATGGCTTACTAGGTTGTTTGATGTCATTTTCAGGGGGGAGAAGATGATCGAGGCGTGGCGGTGGAGTTTGATGAGCCCGTTGTACAAAAATAAAGGCGATATTCAGGACTGTAACAATTATAGGGGTATCAAGCTACTGAGTCATACTACAAAAATTTGGGAGAGAGGGGTGGAGAGGAGGGTGCGACATAGTGTTACTATTTCCGAGAACCAGTTCGGGTTTATGCCATGAAAGTCTACTACTGAAGCCATTCACCTTGTGAGGAGACTAGTGGAGCAGTATAGGGAAAGGAAGAAGAATTTGCATATGGTATTCATAGACCTGGAGAAGGCTTATGATAAATTCCTGAGAGAGGTCCTATAGAGATGTATGTAGGCTAGCGGTGTCCCAGTGGCGTATATTAGGGTGATTAAGGATATGTACGAGGGAGCGAAGACTCGAATGAGGACTGCGGGAGGAGACTCAGATCATTTTTTAGTGGAGATGGGGTTGCATCAGGGATCGGTTCTTAGCCCGTTTTTGTTTGCCTTAGCGTTAGAGGTGTTGACGCGACACATACAAAGGGAGGTGCTATGGTGTATGCTATTCGCTAACGACATAGTCTTGATTGATGAGAAGCATGATGGAGTAAACGGTAGGTTGGAAGCTTGGAGAGAGACGCTGGAGTCTAAGGGTTTTAAGTTGAGTAGGTCGAAAATTGAGTACTTGGAGTGCAAGTTCAGTGATGGGATGCACGAAGAAGGAGTGGAAGTGAAGATTGGTACTCAAATAGTCCCCAAAAGAAATAGTGTCAAGTATCTTAGGTCTATTATTCAAGGAAAAGGGAGATCGACGAGGATGTTACCTATCGTATTGGAGCGGGGTGGAAGGTGGAGGCTGGAAGGTGGAGGCTCGCCTCGGGGGTTTTATGTGATAAGAGTGTGACACCTAGACTTAAGGGCAAGTTCTACAGAGTGGTGGTTAGAACGGCTATGTTGTATTGGGCTGAGTGGCCCGTCAAGAAGTCCTATGTCCAGAAGATGAAAGTAGCTGAGATGCGGATGTTGAGATGGATGTGTGGTCATACCAGGAAAGACAGGATCAGGAATGAAGTTATTAGGGACAAGATAGGAGGGGCATCGGTGGAGGACATGAATGAAATTAAATTTTTTAAATGATTTAACAATCTGTGACTAAGTAGAAAATGAAAAACATATAAGATAAAAAAAAAAAAAATTACCCTGGATGCGCTCTATACTCTAGACAAAAAATCTCGAAACCTTAATAATCGTCAATCAGGTATTTATTGTATGCAAGAGGGAAGGATCAGACGACCTTTCCCACATCCAACTATTTGGTTTCAACCACGACTTCGCAATTAAATTGGTACTCTTCAGTTCGTGGTGCAATTAGGATGGAACTTTTGGATATTTTTCTTAACATGGCATATATAGAGACAATTCGTAACTGTGACTAATTGTGAGTTACTTAGTATTGATTCCACCGTTTCTTCTCAAAAAGTATTCTCATCAAATGAATATTACATGCCTTTTCCCCTTATACCTTTTTCTATTTATACAAGTCATATTCCTAACAATCCTAGCGGTAAAAATCAATGGAATATTGATGTTTGGCTATAACTATTTATTTTTAGTGCATTATTTACCTTACATTTTAGGTGCTTTATTCATGATCATTTATTGATTGGCAATATATTATAATGATATTATGGAGCAATGATTGAAGAGAAAAATCAAAAGAAGATGAAAAGAACAATTGAAAAAAGAAACAAAAAAACGTGAAACTGAGAGATAAGGAAACAGAAGGAAAACTGAAGCAAAGCAAATCAACCTTTTAAACGAAGCAGAAACAAAGCAGGAGACGCGAGCCAATTTCCTCGCGTTAAAGGCAGCGACGCGAGGTCCAGCGCCAGAAAGTTCAGGCGTTTCTCGCTGTGACGCCGGGGCCTAGTTTTGAAGTTATTTCGCCTAAGTTTTTATTTTACACCTATAAATAGTTCTTAAACACAACTTTTGAGAGGAACTTTTGACGAAGGGAGAGCACAGAGCCGCCGTGGAGGCCGGGTTTCATCTTTTCTTCCACCAAACTTTGTAATTTTTATGTTTCTTTGTATGATTTGTTATTTGACTACTATGTCTATGTGGAGCTAAACTTCACGTTCTAGGGTTGTGGTTCTTTCATGACTATTGTTATTCGATTATTGATTTTGATTTCTTAGTTTATCATATTGATTTATTTAATCAATCTTGCGCTTAATTATTTGATTGCTTGATCACCAATTAAATACTAGCTACGATTCTAGAATTGAACTCGAAAGTGGGAATTCTAGATTGCATATAGGATTGAGTAGAGCAAGTTCTTGAACCTGGGCATCAGAAAACGGATTCGCGGTTAGGATAGACATATACCTAATTGTCTTGCTTGGTTGATGTACAGGAATTATAAATGCGTTCTTGTTAGTTCTAATTTCATAAACATATAGGCGTTAGGTTAGCTTGAATAGGCGAGTAAGAACTCGATAGATTCTTATGAGCAATATTAACCCTATCAACCAATAAACTAGGTAAATTAATTAGTCAGAATACAATAGGAATGTTATATAGCCCGTAACCCTGAATCGTTTTCATTACATTGATAACATAAAAATCTGTTCTTCCTTTGTTCACAGTTCATTATTTGTTTTCTTTTTATTTTTAATTATATTAGAATCAAATACTTCTAAGATTAATTCTTGTTTAGATAATTAGGATAGTCTAGTTTAGTTAATAGTTAATTACAAGTTCTCGTGGGTTCGATATCCGACTTTTAGTCACTTTATTACTTGACGATCACGTATACTTGCATGTGTGTTTGGCCGCAATAAGTTTTTGGCGCCGTATTGTGGATCCCTGTCCATATTGTGGAGGACCCCACTAGTGAAAAAATTGTAAGAATATTTCTGGGAGCGAGTTGTGCGCACAATCTCAATCCTTTAAGTGGAATAATTATAATATGTGTGGTGGTCAAGATAGTCATTGGGATGGTTGTCCTAATTCTTTTAGGTTTTATTTGTAGCAAATGTGATACCTCTATGTTTGTTTGTCGTTCATCATCAGGTATTCTTATTCTACTGCTTTATGTTGATGATATCATTCTAACTGATAGTCATTCATCTCTCCTTGATCAGTTCATTAGTCTTCTTTCACTTCAGTTTGCTATGAAAGACTTAGGCGATCTTCATTATTTTCTTGGTGTTCAAGTTGTTCGCTCACCTGGTGGTCTTCATTTATCTCAACAGAAGTATATTTCAAACATGCATACTTGTAATCTAGTTCTCACTGTGATGACCCTTTAAAGTAAATTTTTTGTTCCGAGATCTTGAAAACCTCTTTTTATCACACCTCGTATTGTGTGCGCAACCCGGACGCGTTTTCGAAAAGCCTTTGTGTGAAATATAAGAAACAATTAGGAAATTGGCCTTTAAAAATTAATTAAAGTTGACTTTGGTCAACATTCTTTGTAAATGGACCTGGACCCGTAATCCGACGGTCTCGTATGGTCCGTAGTAAAATATGAGACTTGGCCGTGTGCCCGGAATAAAATTCCGATGTCCCAAGCCCGAGAAATAAATTTTTGAAAAAAGTTGTTTAACGAAAATATTAAGAGTTTTGGAAAATATAAAGATGCTTGAAATTGATGGTATCGGGCCTGTATTTTGGTTCCGGAGTCTGGTACAGGCTTTATATAATAATTAAGTTGAATCTGTGAAGTTTGGTAAAAATCAAAGGTTGTTTGGTACAAATCTGACCTTTATTTGAGGAAATAGTAATTTCATTTTTCTTGAGTGATTTTTATGAAATTGAGGTTGAATCCGTAGTTGTTGATGTTGTTTTGATGATTTGATTGCACGAGCAAGTTCGTATGATGTTTTTAGACTTGCATGCATGATTAGTTTGGAGCCCCGAGGGCTTAGGTGAGTTTTGGATAGGCCTCAGAGTGAGCTTAGACTTAGAACATAACACTTGCAGGTTCAGAAAAAATTGCAGGTCTCTGAAACTAGGCTCCGCGGTGGAGCCTTCGCGAGCGCGGTGGGATTAATGCGGTCCACGATGAGCAAGGCTATGTCTTTGCGGCCGCGCTCGACATTTTGCGGTCCGCGGTGGAGCTCCGTGGCCGCGGTCCTTTTTATGCGCTCAACGGTGAGGGTCTGAGAGGGGTATAT